CCTCTCTACCATGCCGTCCGGCTGGGGATGCAATGGCGTCGTTTGAGTTTTGTCAATGCCGAGTAGTTTGCATAGTTCTTTGATTACTGCCGAGGCAAAATTCCTTCCCTGATCGGAATGTAACTGAAGAGGCACTCCGAACCTGGAAATCCAATGCTGTATCATTACCTCAGTTACTGTGACAGCCTCTTGATCAGGAATAGGATAAAGCTTCAGGCCACTTGGTGAAGTAATCAATGACAACGAGTATGTATTTGTTGCCATCAGCAGCATTTTCGTGGCAGAGGTCCCAGGATGTCAAAGGCGATACGTTCAAAAGGCCCCTACGTTGTAACGTTGCAGCTTGCCTCGGCTGCGTCTCCTCGGTCCTTTCCGACCTGCACAGGCATCGCAAGATCGGCACCACTTTTGCACGTCATCCTTTGCATTATTCCAGTAAAAGCGCTCACGAACTATCTGCAAGGTTTTCATTATTCCAAAGTGACCTCCAGTAGGGGTGCTATGTAACTCTTTAAGGACATCAGGAATGCGGGATCTTGGAAGTATAAGTTGCCATCGGAACGTCTTCCCATCATCCGATTCGAATTTCCGGTATAAGACGCCGTTTCGAATGTGAAGTGAATCCCAGAGTGCCCAATATTGTTTTGTTGTAGGACTACAGATAGAAATGTCCTGCCAGGTAGGTTTTCTGTTTGATGATGACTCCATTAAATCAATTATGGGTTTTTAATGTCGCGGTCTTCCAGCTGGTCTTTCCTGACTTTATCATCACTCCACGGTTCTCGATCAGCCGATGTTGATGTTGTAATTTTGTCTTGCGACCGGAGTCAGCAGCTCGTATTTCGCTTCCACCCTGGAACAATATCGGCAGCTTTCTTGGCAAGGTCTTCTAGACAGGGCGTCGGCGTTTCGTCCCGTGATGATCCCTTACGATGACGGATAGTGATGTCATATTCTTGGAGTCTCTGTATCCACCTGGCTATTTGACCCTCAAGGATTCTTGAAATTTAAAAGCCAGGTCAATGATGCATGATCGTGCGGAGCAGGAATTTTCTGCCGTATAGATAGTGATGGAACTGTTCTACAGCTTTGACTATGGCGAGCAACTCTTTCCTGGTGACACAATAATTCCTCTCCGGTTTAGACAGGCACTTGCTCCAGTATGCCACTACACGTTCTTGGCCGTCTATTTCTTGGGACAAAACAGCACCAACACTTTCATTACTCGCGTCGGTGTCGAGAATAAATGGTCGGTCAAGCTGAGGATACGTTAGGATTGGAGCAGATGTTTTAAAGCCTCCTTTAAGTTGTTAAATGCATCCTCCTCGCATTCTTTTGTCCACAAGAACTTTTGGTTGCTCTCTGTCAGCTTGTGTAGGGGTCTTGCGATGGAAGAAAAGTCCTTCACGAATTTCCTATAGTAGGTGCAAAGCCCTAGGAAGCTTCTCAGCTGATGGACATTTTCGGGACGTTCCCAGGATTTAACGGCTGATACCTTTTCAGGATCCGTGCGCACACCTTCTGCAGAGATGACATGTCCCAGGTAAAGTCACTTCCTTTCGGAAACAATTTGCATTTTAGCGGGACTCAGCTTCAGATTGGCTTCTTTCAGTTTCTGAAGCAGCTTCCTAAGATTTTCTAATATTCTTCAAAACTCTTTCCGACGATGATGATGTGTCGTCCAGGTATATGAGGCAGGCTTCGTAGGAAAGGCCTTTCAAAACGTTTCCATAAGACGTTTCGAATGTTGCCGGCGCATTACACAGTCCAAACGGCATCACCTTGAATTGCCAAAGCCCTTGTACCGTAGTAAATGCCGTCTTTTCTCGGTCTTCAGGCTTGTATTTCTACCTGCCAATACCCACTCTTTAAATCAAGTGTTGAGAACCACTTGCTGCCAGAAAGAGTGTCCTAGAATGTCGTCAATTCTAGGAAGAGGGTAACTGTCTTTCTTCGTAACCTCATTCAACCGGCGATAGTCGACGCAAAATCTTGTTGAACCGTCTTTCTTTCTTTTCTGACTAGGACGATGGGAGATGCCCATGGACTTACTGAAGGCTCGATGACATCGCTTTCTTTCATATCTTTTTAACAGTGTTCGCACCTCTTCCTGTTTAGCAAACGGTAGACGTCTTGGATGTTGCTTGATCGGGGGATGATCGCCGGTATCTATTCTATGTTGTGTCAAACTAGTTCGACCCACGTCAGAAGACGAGCGGGAGAAAACAACTTGAAGATTCTTTAATGACGCTATCGGCAGCATTCCTCTCTTTATCGTTTAATTGCGCATTCTGCAATAACTCCGATGTAATTCTCTCTGAGGACAAACGGATTCTTGGATGTTACTCTTTCTTTCAACGGTGGTTTACTGGAGTACATGCTGCAACCACTTCACCTTTCTTAATAATTCTCCCCTTCTCAGTTACATTGGCAACTCTCACCGGGATAACCGTTCTGGATAGGTCGACGAGTGTTGAGGCTACTAGTACTCCTTTTGGGCTATTACAGTTATTGGGGATATTCTATGATGCCGTAGCGGAAATTTCTGTTTTTCGGCTATGGATCCAGGAAGTAAAATTTCTGTTCTTTTCTTGCCGGTATTGTGATATTGTCTTGTGCTATGATTTTTATGGACAGATTTAACTTCATCATTGACTCCAAATAACGCTATGTCCTCAGATGTAGAATACAATTCGTTATTTTTAAAGTCCAAGGAAAAATTGTATTTCCTTAGAAAGTCCAATCCGAGTATGCAAGAATCAGTTGATCTCTGCTACATATGCCGTGTGATGGTAAGCGGCACTTCCAACGTGATGTTAGCATTTACTTTTCCATCGATGTTGATCTTCTCACCGGACACAGTCTGTAGGGTAACGCAGGGCGGCGTCCAGATAAGTTTGCTTCCCAGTTGTTGAGCCAAATCTTTTCGGATGATGGTAACGTTGGCTCCTGTATCTATCGTCATATTGCAGGGAACTCCATTAATATGTCCTATTATGAAAAGTCCATTACTGCCGCCTCTCACTGCAGAAATCTGAAGCGCTTTAAACTGGGGCTTTTCATGATCTGGCAACCTCCGCCCCGCGAGATGGCCACTAATTAGTTTCCTTGCTGTTTGTTAGGAGCGGTCTTAGCATCCGTGCCCTGGGGTGTTTCTGCAGTTTCGTCGGATGTGTCCTTCAGCACCGCAGTTCCAGCACTTTACGGTCAGTTTCTTGTCACCAATATTCTGTCTCAAGGCGTTCAGTTGTCTAGTTAAATCGTCTAGACGAGCAGTGACTTGATCCCCTGGCTCCTGGACTTGAGCAGCTCTGACTGGATGGCGGTCTCGACGGGTGGCTTGCTGGGCTGCCTCAAATTTCATGGCATACACTAAAGCGCTTTTCAGATCTTTAACATCCGCCATTCGCAGTGCTTTTCTGTATTTCAGGGTCCCGGATGCCATCGATGAAATATTGCAGGGACAGGATTTCCCTTGTTTCTTTTCTGTCGGGCACTCCGAAAAGGCGTGATTGTGACAGCCTTTTTAACATCCGTGGCGAGCTCCTGAAGCGTTTCGGTGAGCTTCTGTTGACGAGATTTTAATTGGAGCCTGCTGTAGTCTTTTAAACATTTCTCGCCGAAGCGCAGCTCCAAAGCGCCGGATAGAGCTTCGAAATCTAGCCTTTGATTTTCGGGAAGCGTCTGCAGGATATCCGCTGCGTCTGCTCTCAGAGAAGCGCGGCGAGATGACAGGGCCTTAGCTTGGGAATCCCATCCATTCGCATCCGCAACGATAGAAAATTGTGTCCTATACACCTGCCAGGAGGTCTTCCCATCATATGTAGATAGTTTCAGAACGGAACGAGCAGGCATCGATAAAAATTTGAAACCTTCAGAATTGTTTCCTACCGTCGCTATGCACTTCTTTAGGCTGTCAACTTCTTTGGCGACGGCAGCAGAAACCCTATCATCAATTTGTTGTTCGACGGCAGAAACTCTCTCTTCTATATGTTCTTATGTGTTATTACAGAAGAAATTCTTTCTTCTACTTGTTCTTTTACCGAAGAAACTCTTTCTTCTATTTGTCCAACTTTAGTTTCAACCGCGTCTATTCTGCCTTCCATAGCCTCAAATTTATTTTCTATTACGCAGGTAATTTCTCTTTTCATTTCGTCCTGACCTGCTTTCATCTCATTTTTAAGAGATTTCATCTCTTCCTTAACGAATTCCTGGCCCAACTTCATTTGTTCCTGTGCCGTTTTCATTTCTTCCTTGAGGGATTCCTGGCCCAATTTCATTTCTTCTTTAAAAGATGTTTGGCCAGCTTCCATCTTTTCTTGGAAAGCAGCAAAAGCAGTAATGAGCTGTCTCAATTGTTCTTCCATCCCTCTTGTTATTGGCATTCAAATCCCACTTCTGACACCAAAAATTGTTGCGTGCGTACGGGTTCGTTATGAAATGAATGCACAAGTCCGATGAAAAATGAACAAAAATTTATTATTATCACAACAGAAATGCTTAAATTTTCTCAAATTATCATGCAGTATCACAATATCTCACAGTAGTTATCTTTTAACTACTTAAATGTACAATAAACGTAATTCAAAAACAGCTAAAGAACGCTAATCCCGCGAATTCGCTATAATCAACAACGGCAGTTTTCTAAACAACAACAAACTAAGCAACTACTACAAACTGAGATGTTTTTCCTCCTTTATAAGATTTTAAAATCACGCGCTAGAATTTTCCAGTACTTTCTCGAAATCAAAAAGAGATATTTATTTATTTAATGCACGCGCTCTTGTATTTTTAATTTTTCCGGCTTAGCTTTCTTTTAATATTCGTCACGCGCTGCACTGCGCGAGAAATCAAACTATTTAATTTATAATTGAACTAACATTAGCTTTTTAAATACCAAATTCGTAACAATATGTTTTATTAAATCTTGCATAATGTATCAGAAACTGTCCATGTTTAGTAAAGTCTTGATCTACACGTTATCTGATATATTCTGTAAGAAATTTTCAAAGGAATAGGGATATGAATCCTCCTTTGCATACCTGATAATTCCACCCAAAAAGATTTCTAAATGCTTTGGTTCAAGAAGAGGGACAGTACCAAATTTTCTAATTGAAAGTAAGATTCTCTGCTTGCTTGAGATCTGGATCTGAAGTTTTTATAGTATTTAAATGATTCCTAAAAAATTCATAATTTATTTAACATGCTTAAAAAAACTTTATTAAAAGATTTCGCGAAGAACACATACGATTGCTTCTTTACTGTGATATTTATATTACATCAACTACAACAATATTACGTCATCTTCGTTAAACTTACGTGAATGTAGTGCATTGATTTTATGTTTTTATCTGAAACCTCAAACACAAGAAAGGCCTTTCAGACATTGCTTCGGCTGTTTAAAACAAATTAAAATTAATTCATCAAACCGGTTAGAACCCGATACTTATCATAGTCTTATCAGCATAATATTTTTTATTAGTAGTACATAACTTGAAAAGAATAGTGTGATGAAATGAGCGTTTGCACTTATATGTTTACTGAAAATACACAGATAAATCACCACTAACTCAAGTTTTTATAGATAAGCAGGTTCTACGTGATAAAAAAATGACTTGCCATTAGATCAAATGAGTCAGTATAACCTCGTTTATCCGAACTATTTAGAGATAATACATTTTGGACAATACTTTTTTTTATTCTTACAACACTTTATAACTATTTTCTGCAATTAAAGACAAAAATAAATACCTATAAAAGCGAAAGTATATTTGCATACCAATATTATAAAACATTTGCAGTTTATTTCATTTAAAATTAGTGAGTATTGAAGTTGTTTCTCGCAATGTTTGCTAAGCCAAAATTTCATCAGTAGTGTGTCTGTCAACCGTTGAAGATTCATTTCTTATATCGATGATACAGTAAAGCAATTTCTTTTGTTCGTGTACTTAAAGATTACTGTAAAATATTTCTTATCCATAAGAAATCTCAGTAGTTGGTTTTGTGTAATTTGAGTTTTTAATACCATGATTTAATTACAAACCATGATTTAATTAACGTAATCAACTATGATTATTCTTATGTTCAAAAAGTCGGTTAAAAACGCTTGTAAGGTAGTTCTTTTGCAAAATATTATTGCCTTATCGACTTTGAAATGACATCCATTGTAAAATATACATTTTATGCAGCGCTTTAGACGCTACAACAAGCACTAGTTAAATATCTCTTTTGGTGTTTGACCCAGGCTGGCCAAAACGTCGTTTTGGATGAAACTGATGTACCTAAAAATGTAAAATTTGAATTATCTGAAAACTTACACTTCGTACTATCTATCATCTTGATAACAAGAAAGAGTAGAGCGACAGTGAAAATAAATTTAATAAATAAAGTGACAGTGACATGACAGAAATCTATATATGATTCAAGAAATTCAAGGTTCTTTGCTCAAGCGTCATTAAAATGATTAAAATGCGAGATCTTGTCGAAGTGGTCGAAGGATGCGTTAATTTCGTTTGTCCTGTATGATTTTATTTCAAGGTGGCAAGGAGGACATCTGTATCCGAGCGCAACATCCATGGAGCGCCAAACTGATGATACGAAATTTTAAATTTAAATGTTTTTGCATTCTTGGCGAATTTTTGGGATACGAAATCATCAGTTATCTCCCTAGGCACTGAAAACCATATCTAGCGCCTTCTTATTGGAACCACAGGTTCCCCAAGTCAGTGTCTTACAAATCTGGACACAAAATATTTATCATCAATCGGTATTGCTCACTAGTCACTGTAACTGTAACTTCACCTCCTCCTACGTTTTTGAAGAAAAAATGGTTCGATTATGGCATTGAAGAGTAAACTGCAACACAGTGGCCTTTTCTGAATACAGAGGTTTGTCGTGCATTTCTTGTGTATTGTTTTCACACAAAAGCGACAATTTTGTCTATTAACAGATCCAATCAAGCAAAAATTAGCTTCATCTTAGAAGATAGTTTTTCGCCCAAACTTAATGTTCTTGAAGAGCGTATTTAGCTATGATGAATTATCAGAACACACTAAACACCAGTAAAAATCATTGACGGTGATAACATTTTAAATATGGTGGCCATTTCATTTTAAAATAGTATCATTCTTATTTGAATACCCTATAATTAATCTGCGTACTATCTAAATAAGCTCGCGCTTTCTCTTAACTTACGTTCTGCTATTTCCAACTGCTTCTGAAGACTTCGAAAAAATCACCACTTCCTGCAAAATTTCTGCTTCTTAGAAAAAAAAAAAAAAACTATAAATCTATGCTTGTATCGACATTTGATTTAATAGTTCCTGTAACTTCTTGTTTATTATTAACAAATATCAAAACAATTGAATTTTTGGCTTCTTGGGCATTTTCGAAATCCTCAGTATGATATGGATTCTTTATAATGGATAACTGGAAAAAAGCGATAGAACGTTATAAACCAGTTTCTCTTCTTTTTATTAAGGTTCTGAAAATAGCAGAATTCAGAGATTGAGATTCATACATCTTATTTAAAAAAATTAAATGAAATTAGCTTTACAGTAATATTTTCTGAAGGTTTTCAACATAAGTTTGCTGTGTAATCAAAAAGCACGATTAACTTTCAATTAAATAATTTCCACACTCAAAATTATGCAATGTCCATGGTTCTAATTCCCCAAATTCATGGTTTATTCCATTAATGAGATATTTTACCGCTGGATTTTCTTTAAATATTTAAAAAATAATTCGGTATCGGCAGGAATTTTTATTAATCACTTTCAGCCAGCCAGAATATGCTGTCAGAGAAGCATCGCTGATGGCATTCCCACTCAGGAAATCATTTAGCTATTAAACTTGTTCTATTCCTCTAAATGACAGTGCGCAGATATCATTTGTGCTGACGTAACTCATTCATTCACTGCCTCTGAGAAGCAAAGTGCCAGGTAGCAGCAGGTGCAGAAATTAATTACGAAGTTCCGAAACAAGATTTTGAATAAGGGATAAGGAACCAAAACTTGCATGGCAAGGACAAGAGCGAGATAGAACTCTTACATGTAATGCTTTACGAACTGCTGCTCAATAGACAGATATTTTTGAAACGCGTGAGTGTTGCTCAGATGAACAAATGCACATAAAATATTGTAATTTGTATAACTATATTTCACCCTTTCCTTTTATATTTTTCTTTAACTATTCATATAAAAAATTAAAAGAAAAAAAGTGGAACAAATACGCAAAATTAATAATAATAGTAAAGAAAAAAGGAAAAAATATGAAAAGATTCAGATTTTAACTTCGCAGCAGAGGACTTTTTCAAAATTTTCTGCCGCTGAGTATTGAGGTTACAATTTGCTCTTGGATTTACTATTGCTAACTCAAATTTTTTGCATTTTTTAACCCGAGAGGGAGTTATCCTGAAAGACCTATTAGTCTCGAAACGGGATTTTGTTTCATCCGCTACAAACGGTGAATCACTTATCAAATATTATCGCCCTGTACTATATTTAAAGAAATTAAATAATGAAGAATTTGCATGAAAGTATGCATGTTCCTTGCATTGTGAAATAACGACGGTGTTTAGGACCATCAGATTTTGAATAACGTAATCCTCCATCCAAACTCCTGGAAGCCCGAATTTAAATTTCGAATTTTATATTTCATATTTTGTGAAACTTTAGTAAAAAATTCAACAATTTGAAAACGAGCGGTGGCATCATAGTACGGAATAAAACATTTTTGTCTCCAGCAAGCGAGATTGTGTATCAGAAATTCTAAAGATATGCTCTTTTAAATATTTTGTGATCTTGCTGTTGAATTAAATTTTATGTGGCGTAAGCGCGAAGAACATGATATTTAATAAATAACGTTAACACAAAACGTTAATAATAAAAAGCCAAAAAAAGTTTTGCAAAGTAAAAAAAAGTATATGATGAACTGAGAAGAGATTGAAAAAAATAGAAAAATGTACTACAGCACTTAATACGGCATCGGGAATTCTAAGCATATGCTGCTATTAAAATTTGTGTAATTTTTCTGTTGAATTGTATACGGCGTAAGTGCGAAGAAACGTATGCTTAAAAAGACAAAAAAGAAATGGTTTAGCAAGAGTTTAATAGCAGACTTGTAGACTGCGAGTTCAGCGTGAGCGTAAAAAAACCTTAGCGAACCACTTTGGGCGTTTGTTAAAATCTGAACACTTTAAAATTTTTCTTTATGTTTTTAATTGTATTTTTAAACATCGCTTTCTTCTTACTTACGTATCATAAAAGTCAATAGTAAAATATCACAAAATTTCTATATAGTAGTATATAATAGTAAAATATCACAAAATATCAACATTCACTTTTCTTAACAAAATTCCCTACACAACTATTTCCGTCTGTTTAATTTTGTTATTAAACACCTCTATTTATTATTAAACATCATCCTGTTTTTCCCCATGCGTAGCGTGCTTATGAGGCAATTTCCCCAAGAAAGTCCTCCACGAAGGCATCTCTCTCATTAGACAGACAGCCTTGAGTGATTCCCCATAAATAAATAAACCAATTAATAAAAATATTTTGAAACTGAAACTAACCCACTCTGAATTAAGATTGGGACTTATATAACCCATTTTTGCTTCTGCGCCTGTCCTAGCTAAACTGTTGTCTGTTGATCTCATCTTATTTCAGCTATATAAAAAAAAATGTTCCGTTCAGGAACGGGGTCGAATAGGGTGCCATAATATTTGTGATAGCAAAATGTTTAACTACAGTAGAAGAAATATTATTTAAATTTAGCTCATCTGCAAGTCTCTGCTTTTTTATGCATCCATCTTCTATCTAAGACGCCACCAACCATGTCCAAGTTACTCTAATGAGTCGATACTCTATCTACGCAATAAATCAGGTCCAATCTATAACACATATATGGTAATTGCTTTTATTTGGTATTTTCATTATCCCTTAAAACTTTTGCACTATAAACTAAAACAAACCCAAATTTGCATGAAAGAAATTGTTGGAGTAGCATGGAAGCAGAATCAAATGCCGATTTTTTATTTCGGAAATCGCTTTTACACATTGTTTTTGTGTTGAAGATGGTGTTATACCTCATGTAAGAAGAGAAAACTCATAACAGCACATATCAGAATTCTATCATGGGAGAATTGGAGCCTACCATGACTGCATCATTACGCTCACCCACAACTGGTCTTGCGTTGGAGAAGATCTAATGGTTGTGAAGAAATTTTACAATCGATGGGCCCAAGAGAACCGCGTCGAGCACCTCGAGAAATTGTAACAGCTCTTTGTCACAGATGCCGCGGACAACAGACATCTTGTCCGGATCACTGTTAGAGGTTGTGAAGCCAAACTAAATGTGTTTCACATACTAGTACGTTGATATGGTGACCTTCCGCAATATCACGGATTGCCAGCAAGGCGAATTTGTTTCATCTGCCCTTGATGTTACATTATAGGATTCAGTGCCTATGATAATGAATTCAGCGACCTACTTGGACTCATCAAAGTTGGAATGTCGTTTTTGCAGGTGAATCTCTCTTTTGCTTACAATTTTATACTAGCCATGCCGCTGTGTGAAGGCATCGAAAGGGGAAAACATTGGAAGCTTACATTCTTCACCTTCATATTCGTCCAGTACCTGGACTGACGTTCGTCGAAAACCAATGACTGGTTTTAAACATCCCTTTTATTTCTAGTCCGTATATCTGGATATACAGAATAGAAAATGTTAGCTGGTTTGACCAGCTAACACTGTCTATATTACTGAGGTTTAATGCCAGTGACTGGATCAAATCTTCAAAGCTTTGACGCTCCACCTTTCAATAGAAATTGCTAGATGACATGCTGCCCACGCTCTCAGATGTTTTTCCTCATTTACATAGGGTATTCGGAACTGCTTTCCCCAGAGTTAACCTCTCATCAATCTCTCACCACTCTATCCTCCAGCTAGTACGACAGGTGGAGTCTGGAATAGAACTGAAGTCTCATGGATTCACAACGACCATCGTCTTAAGACAAAATATTATGCCATCATATTCCAGTATTCATACACGTAACTGCCATCCAAAGTTCTTCGATATCAGGCGCAGTCATAAAGTAGTTACAAACTTTGTCAGATGAAGATGCTTGGAATACTGATTTCTGCATGTTTTTTACCGCAAAATTATCTGAGTTCTAATCATTTCATCCTTTTGTCATAATATATTTATAAAATAACTACGATTCTACTAAGTTCTTTCTTTCATGGTGCAAGGTCCAGCAGTGCATATATATGTATATTCTTCTCTCCTCCATGGAAGTACTTTTGGATGGCTTTAAGCAGAGAAGTATTATAAGAACATATATGCAATACTACTGAAATAATTATCAAAAGCGATTTTAAAAGTTTTAAAATGAATATTTTCATGAAAACCTCGACAAAGAATCTTTTATATAGTCTTAAACTACTTTTATCTCTACACAGGCATTTAGAAGCTTATGACAGAAACTTGGAAAACGCCAAGTATTTTTTAATTGTAGTTATGAATAGGTTTCTTGTTTTTATCTGCAATTCGAACAGGAAAATGTAAACATAAAAACAGATATTTCCTTTCGAGAAAAATTCACAAAGGAATTTAATATATTACACACACCTTAATTTAAATAAATCTGCATATCAATTATCAAATCCATCAGCGTGTCTTTCTCCACAAGGAAAATAGTTTCAAGTTTAGATACTTAATATACTTTACGGTTAGATTGTGGCAAGATTTTTCTTTCGGTTAAAAAGAAAAAAAATCCTTTAAATTATTGGGTTAAAAAAATAAGGCTTTTAAATTCTTGAGAAATTAATTTTTCAAGAAACTTTTACTCATATTTTAAACGTGTTAATTGCTTCTAAGAAACAAATTTCATTTTTACATTAACATTTTTACGGGTTCTTCAAATGAAAGACTGTTATAGATTATCCCATATTTATAAAATAAGTGAGCTAATAACATTCCAAAAACATTTTAATTGTCTTTCCTGGACATTTTTGCCTAGAAAAGGAGGCAATTAACAAAATGGGGTTAATCTGAAAATAATTGTTTTCGGGTATTATATGTGAGTTTCACAGGACGCTTGTAAAAGTGTTTGTATGTAAAGTGTTTTCTCCTTTCCGGTGTAAGATTTTAAAAAAGAAAAAAAATGTTTCCTGTAAAAAAGAAAAGGAAAGCAATTAAAAAGGTTTTTTTATTTTAATGCAAGGGCCTGAAGAGTGGATGATCTAAAAAAAGGTTTAACAGAGAAGAGAAGAACCGTGGAAAGTAATTAATGCTATTTTTTAGTCATTCTTTAAAACTGCTTCTCTATTCTCAAAATTTATATAATGAACTCATTTGGACATACTTATTCATACTTAAATTATCGCTTGTTTTAAATAATTTAAGAATATAATCATTTATTGAAGTATGCAATGAGATGCAATGCTCGAGAACAGCTGTATCTGTATACAATGATTTTTAAAATATGTACACCTGTGTATAATAATTTATTTACCAATGGATTATTGAGTATATTATCTCCTTAGATAAAGTTAGTAGAACTGTAGTTGAATGAAGTAACTTAGAAGCATTTAAAATCTTTTAAAAAGAAACTTCAGTTTTAATCATGAAAAATAGAAATGGAAACTTTTAAAATGAAAATTAATCAACAAGCCAAGTAATTATCGTCATTGATCGGAAATTGGTTGACTTTTCAAGGGGAACAAAACAACCTCCGATCAATCAAAAACAGTTAATAAATGCGAAGGTGTTTCGCCTTTTACTCAAGTAAGAGGTATGCCAAACTGGTAAGTGGAGTTTAAGCCAATTATTTAGATTAAGTGAGTGAAGGACTATATAGAATTCATTATGAATGTAGCAGTTCCGTTTAGCTTCTGAATTTTTTATATCCTGAGCTAATATTGCCGAATTGAGTAATAGTAAAAATCTTTTTTTGTTAAGCTGAGTAGTAGCAATTTTTTTTTCTTTCACTTGAGTAAAGTGTCCCCCGACATCCTCACTTTGATGCATGTTAATTCAAAGTAATTTTTATAAGTATAATAAACATAATGCAATTTTTGAAAAATTATGAAATATAATTCAAGGTAATCTTTCAAAACCTAATAATCATAATGAAATCTTCGCAACATTAATGAAATATAGAAGTTTAAACATATTGAAAGATATTTACAGAAATTAAGGTACATTAAAATGTACGAATTGAAATGTACATAATATACAGAAATGGCTAGAATATGAATTAATTAACTTTCGTTCTTGCGAGTGTGTGGACGTATACATGTTCGTGACTGTCTTCTTACTCAGAAGGAATTTAAAATGCAAGATGGAAATCGCGAGGAAAATAATGAAAATTTGCAAAACATTCGAATTCTAATGTTTACACTAATTACTTTGCAGTCGAGGATTTGTTTTAACATTAGGATGGTTAGAAATACCCTTTCCTTTGAAATAACAAGAGTAATATCACAAATAAATAGTACGTAACTAAATAAATATATTATAAATTTTTAACTGAAATTATTTAAGTTTATATTATTTTGGTCAACGTGTATAAGGAATTATTTTTTAAAACAGAAGATTTCAATTGATTGGTCAATATTTATTACCTCCGCTTCAAAGTAATCCCATTTAATTGCAATGAACTCATGTTAGCGTTTTTTCCTGTCCCCGAAGCATGCTCTGAAAGTCATGGAACCCTTTCAAGACTCGCAGTAAACATTCCTTTTGGACAGAGTGATCACTGTGAAACAGTAGAATAAGCTTTCCCCCTCCCCAATGGCAGATTGTGAACAATTACAAATGTAACCCAGTCCATTAATCTATACAAGGCCGGATGTGGTGGTCTCTTTATTATGGAGGCATCTAATAGGTGGGCCACCATCGCCTTTCCTATGAAGGAACAGACAGTTACAACCATGCCTTCTCTGGAATTCGAACCCAGGCCTCTTCGACATCGCAGTCAGCCTCCCTGACCACCATACCGACTGGGCGACGCAGCAGAATAAGCTAGAAAATAAGAAAATGAACTTAGTATCACAGGTAATGAATATGGAGTCTGCGGGACGCATTTCTTTAATTTTAACCAAAAATTTATAAACAAAACGAGCATTATGAATAAGCGTATTATCACAGTATAAAATTTATGGATGACATGGCTAAAATTTAGGTATTTTTCTACGAACTGATTCACATAAATGTACAAAACACTTAGTTTTTGTTGAATTTGGCAAGTTGATAGAAATTCTTGCTGCACAATGCCACGCTACTCAACAGTCAACGAACCTTGATTTTCTGTTGTCTTTAAATTAGCCCTACTTCAACTTTTGGTAGCCGTTCTTCTAAATGTTACGCTGTTTCTATGCAAAAAGTATAGATTCATACATTAATGTGTGCAAGCATCGGCTTGAGCAAGAATTTTCTGGGCAACTTCAACATGTTGTTTTTGAAAAAATTAATGTTTTCAGATCAAATAAAAAGGCAACATGCCGCAAACCCAAATGATCTTTCAAAGTTGCTTGAGAAGATCCAAATGATATATAAGCTTGCTCTATAAAATTGTTTATTTGTACCTTATAAAGTATTTCCCCCGCCTTCTTAACATGCCTTCTTAGTGTGGTGGTCAGCACGTTGGGCGCGTATTCCAGAGGTCCGTGGTTCGATTCCCGGCGAAGGCGTTGCTCATTTTTCATATCTCCTGCTTCCAAAAATAACCTATTGACTCTACAACCTCTAATAGCTAAATCTCTGTCTTGATTGATATGTTGCTCATTTGTTGAACTGGAAAATCTAACAGAGCGTGGTTCGTCTTCGACATAATCTCTTCCTTTCTAAAACATCTTATACCGTTCAGAAACTCTTGTTTTGACGCGTGTTGTTCCCAAAGGCATTTTACAGTACTTTAGGGAACTTTGTAGCAGGTATTCTATTTCGAAAAAAAAAAAAAAAAAAAAAAATTCAGTGCATGGGTTGCACTCTTTTGTGTTCGTTATTTTGGAAAATCACCAGAGTAAAAATTCTTTTTTCATTATAAACGAATTTAGTTGGAAGCAATGAAAGGAAATGAAATGCTAATTGTTCTAAATTAAGGATTCTCAACCTTTTTCTTGCATCGAACCTTTCTGAAAGAATGGTTTGCTTTATGAAACCTCTTACATTTTTCCTCTATAATATCTTGATTATGCCTATCAATTGGCAGTGCATAATCGGCTATCGAACCTCAGTCGACCCCTTGATCATAACTGACCTCTTTTAAATTTTAATGGACCACCTACAATGATTTTTGACCAGAGTAGTCTAATCAGACTCTGCAAACATATTCATAACGGTTATTTTAGATAAAGATTACTGCATAACTGGATGATGTTTTCATGTAATATATTGCACATGCACAAGATATTTTTATTCAGTAAATGAATCGTTCAACATTGAAATTGTTTGTCAACATGATAGGTAATGAGGAGTGACCTTATGATCGGGAAATGACTTCTATTCGTCCAGAAATCCAATAAAATTTAAAGCAATTAAAAGTTCTGGTTTGGATTTTGGAACAGGATTACTTTGCAATGAATTCTGGTTAAACTCTACTAAAAATAGGATAAAATTAGTTTAAATATAAACTATTCTTACAATCACACTAGATATTAAAAAATACTAGCAAAAAAATCCGGAATTCCAGAAAAAAAAAAATCTGATATTTGTGAAATTTCAGAAAATTTCCCCAAATCCGCGAAAATAGTTACAGAAATTTGCTCTGCGATAAAGTTACTGCCCTATACATAAATCATAAAAGTGACGCTTCACAATACAAAAGAACTTTAAAAAGCAAGATACAAAAGATGCAGTTTTTTACAGAGCATTAAAAAAAATGCTTATAGGTTTTACTTTTTTAATGTACCGTATAGTTGCATACTTAGATACAAAAGCAAGTATATAAATACATTATTATTCCTTAAAAGAATCATCCTCACCAGTATTACCAGTTGTTTTCAATTACAGATTTCAATTACAAAGTTTCTCAAAATTAGGTAAAATATTTTGTGAAAACAGTTTAGGTTTTAGATAGAATATTTTCTAAATGCAAAACTTACATACAAACAAGATACTAACTGTGTTTTAGAGAAAGACGATCAATTATTAACATGTTCGTTGTCCTTCAGTAAGTCAAATACAAACAATAATGGTTATTTCTTGTATTTTTTTAGTCGACTAGAAAGTTAATACCAACTACTGATGTTTTACCGAATGCGGAATCGTAAAAAGCAGCAATTTTTGTTTTAAAATTCTTCATTAAGTTTGATCCAAAACCTCGGCGAAATCTTAATGTAACCATTGGAAAGTAATCTAAGGTACAATCGCTGTGTGCTAATTTTCACCTGACGTTATTGAATCTTTTGTGTTTCACTTACTAAAATATATTGAGCATTTTATGAATTATGGTTTTGCTCTAAAAAGTCAACATGAAATGCACAATGTGTTATTAAAAAATTATTTTTTATGCCAAGTGCTGGTTTTCAAAAAATTCTTAACTTACTTTTGAAAAACTTTATGATCAGAATTATATGCTTACGATCAGGACTAAAGGAAATAAAGTCTACTCTTTTCAATTGTTCTGCATAACACATTATTTTTATTTATACATTTATAGTTACTAAAAATATATTTGCGAACAAAAAAAGACAGAGTTCGCATTTCCACAATATTTTTTTTTTCTCTCACTTGTTCTTGAGGGACATAACACTCTTAAACAAAAAACAAAAAAACAAAAAACAAAAAAGAAAAAAACGGCGCACCAAGAAGGAGTTATCCCGAATGGGAGAAAATCGGTAGAAGTGATGTAGTACATGTACAGAAAAAACAAATGATTACAGTTTGAGAAAAATTGGATGATTTATTGAAGTGATAAAGCTTCACAAAGTGAAAAAGTCAGTAACGCCTTTGTCCACCTGGCCCTTATGCAAGTAGTTATTCGGCTTAGCATCGATTGATAGAGGTTGCCGATGTCCTCCTGAGGGATATCGTGCCAAATTCTAGTCCAACTGGCGGCGCGTTGAATCGTCAACATCCCGAGCTGGTTGGAGGGCCCTGCCCATAATGCTCCAAACGTGCTCAATAGGAGAGAGATCCGGCGACTTTGCTGCCCAAGGTAATTTTCGGCAAGCACTAAGGCAAGCAGTAGAAGCATGTGTAGTGTGGGGGTGGGCATTATCTTGTTGAAATGTAAACCCAGGGTGGCGTACATGAAGGGCAACACAATGGGCCTTAGA